AAGCATCCAGCTTGAAGCCGTAAGTTCCACTCAGAAAGTAAAGGAATGTAAAATAAATAAATAGAAAGTTCAAATCAAATACGTTAATTCACTAAAGCCCAAACAATCAGAAGGCTTAAACCTTTTTTATTTATTCAAAGATCATCTGTCATCACTTCGATCTTATTTTGACGATTCAGTTCTACAACTAAGGCTAATTTTCACTTAATATTATCTTCACACCCTCCTTTATTCCCTGTTACCTCTTCTGTAAACCTTTTGACGAGTATACATGTAATGTGTCGGAGATGTTTCGCACAAATACAGATTACACTTTTCAGATACGTCACATCTTCGTATTCATTTTGTCGAAATTCACATGGTAAACTTAGTGCTTTAAATATTTTTAAGGTGATGTATTAAAGCCAAGCCTCAGGAAAGATCTAACTGAAAACAGTGTGGTTAACTGATACCTCTTGTTTTAATTTGAAATATGGGAATTTGCTTTTAGGCTCATTCGTATGTCCTACTACCTGATTAACTAGAACCGAAATGTTCGTTGCATGTTGAAATGTCAGCTATTAGTACGGATGCCTTGAAGTTGCTTAAGAATAAACATTTTTATTTTATTAAATTTATTACAGCTTTATTCTACACAGTATTCTGTGTATGAAATTTTCAGCTTGTGATATCGGTAGCTCAAATTTAACAGGCTGACCATTGATATAAGGTGTGCGTCGGCAAGGGACCATGTGCACGGTCGGCGAGCATCCTAACTGATGTGCCACCGACGCACAACACGAAATTACTGCACAAGACACAGCTCTCGTGATTTTCGTCGTCTAGTTGACGATACTTTACCGTTTGCAATGACTGGTGTAGTGTTCTAATAGCAGTGAAAACACCATCTCATGACTGGGAACCTAGAGATATCCGGATGACGAGTCTCGAACAGAATGAAATGCCAATCCTGGAGTCAACTGCTAAATTTAACAATAAAAATATTTGATATCATTAAAACAACAGTGAAATTTTAAAATCGTCTCAATCATTTTACCATAAGGTGAAACTAATTGCAGTACAAACAATCCTTTTATTTTAAACATTGCCAACATCACTACATTCTCTACAGTGAATGTAAGTTTAAATTTCACCAATTGATTTTTAAGTAGGAATTTCCTCCCGTCTAATGGCATATATATATATATATATTCACCACAAGCCACATGACATATATTCGTCACATCACAGTTTGAATTCTACATTTTCCTGTCTATTTTATTCGATTATTTCAATATATCTGAGTAAAAACAGGTCTGAAAACGTCATATCTACTACAACTAACCAAGATAAACTAGAACACAAGCAGAGAAATTTGTTGTATGCTAATGTACGTTTACGATAAAGAGCAAAGTTGTTGACTTGTATCATCTGCACTGCAGAATAAATTTATTTGATGAAGTTCTGCTTATTAAGGATGTTATGAACACCATCGAGTGTTCATAATAATACCAAGTGACTCATAACTTTTAAACTTCCTTTATTATGTAATACCACAAAAATATTATGCTTTGACATCATTGGTAGCGATATTTCTTATAACGCTGGTATAAGCGTGTTGCGTTATTCTTATTACACGTGTCTGTTGCGTAGATTCCTTGAATAAACATTCGGTTATTCTTGATTGGATACCACTTAGTATGTAGTGTTAAGTGTCTTGTCCGTTGTTTAGTGCAGAATAGCTTCTATTAGTCGAATTTGCAATGTGATCACCATGTTAAGTGTCTCGCCATCATGGTTGACTTTGTATTGTTCATATTAGATCGTTGGAGGTAGTCGTGAGGAAGCCTTCCAACTAGAACTCGTTCTAGTTGACACTTGACTGACAGAATTCAGTCTAGACACTTTACAATAGTTACTAACTAGTGTCCAATCAAAAATATCCAATACGGTCCTACCAGATGGTTTATTCTTTGCCCGAATAGCTCAGCGGTAAAGTCTCTGGCTGTAGCCTCGGATGATGCAGGTGCAAATCGCGGAAGTAGCGACATGAATTCCTTCAAGGTTGCAGATGCGCCTTGCTGACTAGTAAGTGCCAAATAGCACGAAAACTAGGTCCAAGATATCCTGAAGATTGCCCTCAGTCATCTAATACATTCAGTTATGTGTCGCTATCGTGTAAAATTCATCAGGAATTTCAAAAACGCTCACTATGCACCGGAAAATATTACTAAAACTACTAGTCATGGCGAAAATTATGAATTTAAGACATCCATAGTTGTTTCATAAAAGGAAAAAACATCTGAAAACCTACATAGGATCCTTTGTAATTCGGAAACTAGGATGGCATTTAAACCTGAAAATTCAGTAAGGGACAGTCTCTGTAAGCTAAATGATCCTACTAATGCAATGAGGCAAAATAACACCCTACAAAGTGCATTGTATTGACTGTGTGGTTAACTGAACAGGTCAGACAATCTTACTGAGGATAGTCAGATTATTGGAATATAATAATTTAACTTAATGCAGAATGAGTGATCCTATGAGGATTAATAATATGTGGAGAAAACCTACTCAGCCATAATGCACGCATTAATCAATAATCATAGTAAGGCGGGACATAACGTGAATTCAAAAACGTAGTATAGGTTTGGAGGAAGAGGTTAGTCACCGAATTTGTTTTCATCATATCTACACCTAACACCTGTAATAAGAATAACACGACGCCAATACCAGAGATATGGAAAATATTGCTACCAACAAAATCCATGGATAAAAATTAATGGAGTTGTTTAAACAAAGTTTAAAATTCATTGGAGTGACTTGACATAAATTGCGTTCAAAGTGATATCAGCAAATAATACTGTATCTTCGTCTTCCTTAATGTAACTAGTTTATTCTTTGATGGCATTTTAAACTACCATAGTGCCCAAGTTGTACTCCTATGTTTTGTCTCAAGATATTCAAAGCAACCTTGTTTTCGATTGCCAGTCATATAGGCTTTCCAAGTGTTACTTTGTGGGCATTTCATTGGTTTCAAGTTCGGTATTACTTTGAGAACCAGCGAAATCCAGTAAGTACTGAGTAGTTTTTTTGTACCGATCTGGGCCTCTTCGGCAACAGACACTCGTCATGCTTAAGTGGATCAAAACAAACACCTTCCGGTAACGAGACCATGATCGTGAACCGTTTAGCCACTTCAACGGAATCTAATGGTCCTCAAGCCCAAATTCTGTCAGTTCACTGTTTGAGCGTGTCCTGTAGCAAATGGTATTGCTGCGTATTTTTGTTTTAACACACTAATTGATGTGTGGAAATCATGCATCTGAAGAAGTCAGAATTTATGGACCATTGTATTCAGAGCACAGTTAGAATTCAGTCACTGAAGAGGAGCTTAGGCATCACTGACCTTGCCACACTCGATCAGTAAGTTAGTGAAGCTGTGGAAATAGCACTACACTCAGGAAAAAAAAACATGTTTACTGAAAAAAATTCATATTAAACGGAATACCTGGTAAGTTCTGGATTACATTTAAGCAAGATTGGAGTTAGGTGTAGGCTAGGAACAGGTTCGGATGAGGTCAAACCATTTATGGAGACATTATATATGGTTCAAGGCAGGTTAGGGTTAGGTAAGCGACATATTAGGATCAGGGTATGGTGAAGTTAGACTACACTTTGGGTTAAGGTTAGAGGACCAAATTTATTTTTCACCGCTACTGCTATTTCCAAAATTATTAGAGAATCCGCACCATTTCTATTCGTGGAGTTGGACTTTTCCGAATTCCCTTCCAATGTCTGTCAATAGTTTGCGAGCTCTGGTCTCTGGTCCTAAGGATATAATCTTATTGACTTATTGTACTTATAAATAAATGTTTGGTATATTGTGACTGTCTAACGCTAACTAATATCTGCAGTTGTATATGCTGTAAGATTTACATAGCCAAGTTGACCCAAGTCAGTGAGTCTATGATTTTGATGAAATTTTTGTTGTTGTTTTTGACAGTGATACCACTGCTACGAGTTCTTTTGTTGTTGTTGTTGTTGTCGCTTCCCCTCCTGTTGTGAATTTCCTTCATTTTGATGGTGTTGTTCTGATTGCTTATTCTTGTTTTCTTGATTCTAAGGGGAGCAACCCACAAAGTCGTCCCTCTGTAAACTATTTTTTAGTGAAACACCTCCTTTCTCAGGCGTGAGCCTAGGAACCTCACCCTGTAGACAAAGCTGCTCCACAAACTTCAGTACGAGTCTCCCTGAGATAAAAAAAGTCCATTTGTTTGGGAGCGAACCAACCAGGTACCGATTATGTAGCACTCGAGTGAAACCGGAGTGGGAAGCGGCTAGTTGGTAGCCGGTTCGTGTGTGGGGTGACGTGGAGGGGGTTTTATGAAGAGGAGATGAAAGCATGTGGAGAGACGTGGAGCCAGGTGAGGACTTTGGCAGAGAACCGAACGCAATGTAGGCATGAAGCTGAAGCCCTATGTTCCTTTAGGAACTAAGGGAAACAATGATAATAATCTGGTCTCTAGTCCTCAATATTTCTCTAATTAATATCAATTTGTTATCATACTCAAAACAAAGTGTATAGATTTGTTCACCAAAAGACTGAAAGTAAAAACAATAACAAAATAGCAGAATAGAAAAATACCATTACTAACTCACTTGTGTAAATGCATATCCTAACGGTTCTTTATACGATACAACAGTTTTTGACTTATTCGTATCATTTGGATCAGGGAAAATAAAATACGGTGAATTGTCATTCACATCTAAGATGTGTATACGTACTAGTACATTTTCAGATAACTTTGGAGTGCCTTTATCTTCTGCCTGTATTGTCAAAACAATATTTGGAGTAAATAAGGAATTATTTGTCGACTTTGCATAATGATCCACATTGAGTGTAGCATCCATGTATCTAACTGGTTTAAAATTAGATGATGTTTCCAAGAGAGGAGAAGTTGATTTCTCAACGAGACTCTCACGATTAATCACAGAGTTTGTATACAATTTTGTCTCATAGTAAGCCGGTTTACTGATAGACGATGAAGCATTTACCCTCTTTGAAACTAGCTGGAACTTTGGAATGTATTCAATATACTTTTTTTGATTCAAATCCGATAAAATCGATGATTGTTTAGAATTAGGCTTTCTACTGATCACACTTTTCTTGATCTCTATCTTTAATTCTGAATTTTCCCCATATCATTATCAGTAACATAAAAGCTTCCGATCAGCTCTCCCGATAGATTATTTTCTGATAAATAAAAATCATACGAGAGCTTCGAAAAAACTGGAGAGTTATCATTAAAATCTAAAATCACGACATCCACTAGAGCTGAAGTTGATCGTTTATTCTGTTCACCATCATCGGAACATAATACAAGAATAGAGAATCTGTCAGATAATTCACGATCCAAATTTCCCAGGGAATGTATCCTTCCTGTCTGTGAGTTGATTGTCACCAAATCAACCTGGGAAATTGGTGATGTCTGAACAATACTATAGTGTAGTTTTGCATTACGACCTTCATCTTTGTCTGTTGCAATAAGCGATATGATTTCAAAGTTTTCTCTTCCTCTTTCAGGACTCGTATCCTCCAGGATCTTAACTGTGTAGACACTTTGATTAAATACTGGGTCGTTATCATTGATATCAATTACTTTTATGCTTTGTTTTATATTACTTGATAAGGGTGGATTTCCGTTATCCCAACAGTAAACAGTAAATTCGATGGCTGGATTTTCCTCTCTGTCTATACTCTTCAACAAGGAGAGTTTATATTTCTTATGAGACTTTGTTAGATCATTGCTGACAAGTTCAGCACTCATCGAAGTTAGGATTAAAGCATCGGAAAGAGTTTGATTTGTCAGTTTACAGTTCACTTCAGCATTTTCCCCTGTATCACCATCTGAAACATCTAGAATGCCAATATCTTGACCAGGCGGAGATTCTTCTATTATTTCTAGAGATTTTGAACCCGTAGGCGACAAAATTCGAATTCTTGGATGGTGATCATTTGTGTCAACCACATTTACAATTACCTGAGCTGTAGATGACTTGGATAGCGTTTGTAGAGATTTTGCATTCCTCGATATAGTATGATCAGGATTCTTAGCAAATACTTTCAATACATGTTGAGGCTTCAGGCGATGGTTTAAACGTCGTCGAAGACTGATTTCACCGGTATCTTCATGAATGTAGAAAAGATTGCTGTCGTCAGTGGTATCCGTATATGAATCAAGGCTGTACAGAACTTTCCCATTTTCCCCGTCGTCTGCATCATTCGCTGTCACCTTTACAATAGTCTGGCCCATGATTGTGTCTTCACTTATATTCGCAACATACGTGGACTGATCAAACACTGGCGTATGATCATTACAGTCTTCTACGAGTACAGTCACATTTAGGTGACATTGATGTCCACCTGATGGAAAACCATCATCAGCGACGATTTCAAATGTATAATTCCGCCGACTTTCATAATCCAACTCATTGATCAGTTCCAACTCCAGTTTAATATTTGCATAATTCGAAGATGAAAGACTATGTAGTTTGAATGTGGTATTTATATTCCGGTTATCGAACGGAGATAATTTATTAGACCGATCATGGATCCATACAAGATCAGATTTAACAGTATTTCCTAAGATTGCATCGTCTGGATCATAGGGAGTATTCAGTGGTAGTCGTGTTTCGCGAATCGTTGAATCTTCACGTATTCGAATAATCTGTTCACTTGATGGCATAAATTTACATCCATTATCATTAATATCCCTGAGTTGAACGATGACATCGAAAATAGCTACCAGCTTGTTACTTACAGGTGTTTTACTTTCGTTCTGGTTCCCAAGATTTTTAATCGGTGTCACATTTAAACAATTCACGCTAAAATACAATTCACAAGTTGTATACTGATTCACTCGAGAATTCCATCCTTCTTTCTGGTGCTTTGAAACTGTTTTCTGACTATTCAGGACATCAGGATGGCATAGTGTTTCTCTGTCCAATTGTTTAGCAACCAATATATCCCCGTTAATTTGATCTACAGAAAATAGTTCCGAAAAGTCATCAAGGCTAGAGATTTTAAAAAAGTTTAAACTTTTGAATTCTCCATGTACGTGTTTCAATAAACTGCCAATTTTTGTGCCAGTTGGAATCTCCTCGTCAATATTAAATTGAACAGTCCGTGATTGAGAAAAATGAATCCACAGTGCCATTATGATTGTTATGCTAAATTGTTGATTATATACAAAATAGCACGGTGTTTCAATTAATCCAATATTGAGCATAACATTGAAAAATTCCGCATTTATAAATTAAGGATCTAAGGATAAGTTGTAGGCTTCATTTCTGTGGCTTACAAAACATTTTCTGTCATTCAAAATGCAAGAAGCATCACATTTATCAATGTTAGAAAAACACAACAAAAACAAAAAGAAATTAAAAAATTTTCAGTAAAAATTAAATTAACCATGAAGGCAAAATCAAGGATTTGTCGTTTTCAGGCAATATCTAAATCTGATTGGTAAGATTTTCAGCAAATCGCATTTATAGTGGGTGGGATAAACAAAATTGTCAAGCCCCTATCCAATAAACTATTACCAAGGGTAAATTTATGTTTGAAATTTATGGGTATTTAATGGATGCAGCCAACATTTTGCGTAAACAAGAGTATCTTAAGTCTCATCTGCGTTGGTCGTTCAGCGGTAGAATGCTCGTTAACCGCAACTGCCTGAGTCTAGCGGTCTTAAACTGAATCCTTCTAAATGTTAAACTGTTAATTTCAGCTTAAGAAATAAAAGACAGTTGACAGAAGTCGTCGATTCCCATGACAGTTGTAAGATTGACGACAATAATATAGGAATTAAATCAGAAATTATGTATCTTAGATTTATTCTATCTTCTGATCTCTCCTGGTCTCCCCATGTGTCTTACAGTTCATAAACTCTTGCATCCTACCTATTCTTCTTTATTGTTCACCCTTAATTTTTCCTGGTTTCCTTAAAAAAGGACTATGTTACAATTCGTAGAATGCTGAAGACGGTCAGTAGGATGAGTGGTGTCCCAGTGGACCACATAGTTAACGTCGTTGTTGATAGGCACTTGACTTCGTGCAATAAATTTGTTAGGGGGATTTTGTCTGACTTGGACCATTCACTTTACCTCAGCTTTCACCTTGCATCTCCTCAGGTAAAACAAGAAGTAACTTCAAAAAACTGTGGGCTCGCACGTCTAAGTATAAAATTTCTATCATACCGTACTTGGCAAGTAATGAAAATGTAATGAAAATAGTGTCAGGCAAGAATTAACTTACCTTTTTTCATCTAGTAGGTAAACAATTTCCTCCATCCATCCTTATATACCTTTAATTTTTTATTTTTATTATTTCTATGGTCCTGTTGCTTCTTTGTTTTACTCTCATAATTGCAAGCACCAACTTATCTCTATGACTGCTGTAATCTTTGTTTTTCCCCTCACCATATTTTGTAAAGAGAACATTATATTAAATATTTTTAAACATGCTAGGATTTCTATACCGAATCGATAATACTGTGTGAAACAAGCCCACGGCAATTTTCACTTGTATTATTATTATTTCAATTTTATATGCCGCATGTTTTTGACGCTACCTCTATTGTAAATGTGGAAAATTTTCTGTGTGATTAATTTTTATTTATAATTTGAGGAAATTAGATGCTATATTGTGAATAATGATGAAAATTCCATTCTGTATCACAAGTACTGTTCTTGGAATAAAGTAAATCATTATTATTACTATTATAATTGTAGTCCATGGTTCAATCTTCAGCCGATGCAAAATTTAACTGCGTTTAGTTTCATAGCCTGTTTTAAGACTCGTATAGATTAAGGGCTGCATATGAGATTGCAAATCCTGCTCTATGAAAATTATACCTTGACTCCTGATACTTTAAGGCTTTAAGCCTACAATTCTGTGTTTCAGTCAGAGAGCAAAGGAATAAAAACAAAGGTATTTCATTCAGTATAGCAACTAGCGCCAAAATAATAAATTGTTCTTTTAATAGTTATCATGACCAATAATATCTGCCGACTGTGGTAACGTTCGTTTGACTCAAATTTTCAATAACATTTGTAGAGTGAAATGTTCACGTTTATATTTAGTTGTTGTGGCAGATTCTTAGCACTTCCATGACTTATTTTCTCATTTCTTTGGCTACATGAACAGCCTTTCCACGTCTGCGTCCGTATTTGGGCGTTCATCGAAGAAAGACATACCAGACGACCGGCTTTCTGAAGGCATTCACCAGCCTGTTTCACTTCGTTGTATACATTTTTGTTATGCATTAAAGTTTCTATAGCCATTCGACTGATTTTACGAGATAAGTTTGCTAACCAAATAATTGCCAAAGAAAATACTAGATTTGAATGTGGAGTTGACAGGAGTCTTAACTTCAGACATCCTTAATAGGAGAATCTCTAGTTTCCTAAAAGAGGCCTGTCCAGCAGTAACTCTAAGAGTGATATTCTCTAACCGTTCCGTGCCTCTAAGCAATGCGAAGGACATACTTCAGCTAATAACCACTTCAGTGTGCATGTATCAGTACTAGGTCCTTCTACGTGGGTCCTATCAGAGGGTATTAGAGGAAATTACGCAGCATGGCCACATGGAGGAAGGCACTGGTTCTGTCAGAAGCGCCATAATTTAACATCTAGTCACCACCCATCACAGCATCTAAACTGACTCCTCAGTCAGAGTCAATTACAGAGTAAACAATAATCTATCAGAGGTATCGTGTTTGCGATTTATGTGTACTGCTAATGTCCTCACCACATGAAAAGAAAATCCAGAGCTTTGTGTTTCTATAGGAACTAGTCTAACCTCTACACTTACGATTGGTCTAGTTCATTTTGACTCCTTAACTTTCGTCTGCCATTCCCTTTATTGTTTTTTCTATTTTTTTTTATAAAAATGATGATAGAATTGCAAAAAAGATAGTTGTCTTTGCTGAACTCCTTGTTCTTATCTTTCTAGTGTCATGATTGATCTTTTAAACTGCTTGAAAAACTAATTCAAATATCGCACAATGATGTCGTATTATTAACTGGAAATTTTCGCTCTTAGCTATATTAGTTAGTCATGCAGTTTCATGATCTGCTTCACATAGGTATTTTTCTGCTATTCTGCTTTCCCCCTATCGCTTGTTGAGACTTCACATAACTCAGGTGAAGGCGTTGAGTCATTTCGACTGCACGTGTGTGGTGTTTAATCAATGAAAAAGGTTCGGTGATTGACCTCTCTCTCTATCTCCAGCTATCTATACCACACTTTAATACTTTCACCCTGTCTCAGCAACCCTATTTTGTGATTACATTCAAGTAAATGCGATGCAGTTCAATGACCGGAGCTGCTTCCTAGGCTATTTCAGTTGACCGGGTCAGTTATTCTACGTCTAGCTAGCTACAATTTTGTGTTCCAATAATCTAATTGACTCCGATCTGCTAGTGCGTCAGTGGCACAGCGGTCAGGACGCCAACCAACCATGCACATTGTCCGGGGTTCGGTCTCCTACCGACGCACACCTGATGTCAATATTTGGCCTGCAAACTTTTGGCTACATATATCACATACTGAAAATTCCATACTTGTACCAAAACTACTGTGTGTAATCAAGCTATTATCAATGATATAAAAAAAGTAGTTTGGTCTATGTAATTGACCTCACAGTCAGCATTACATCGTTTTTGGTAAATTATACTTATTTTCTTCATTGAATCTATTGGGTCCTTAAGCAAAAAAAGAGTATCTCTGAGGTGGTTGGTCGTTTGGTTTAATTGCCACCCTAATTCCATAGTCATTGAGAATCCTAGGTAAGGTCTCTGACGCTTCTTCTTTATACGGCACTAACACAGAGGGTTTAAATTCTATTTTATTTACGTCATTTGTAAGGCTAATCGTTTTTTTCTTATGGATACTCATACAATTCTGAGTAAACTGGGGTGGGTAGTTATTCATTAGTAATATTTTCTTTATTTGTTTGATTTCATTATTTCAATCTTCTGGCTTACTTACTAGGCTCTTGGCCCAATTATATAAACATTTAACTAAATCTATCTTTACTCATTCTGGATGGGATGAATTAAAGTCTAAGTATTTACTAGAGTGTGTCCGTCACCTATAAATGCTGGTATCCAACCAACCACTATCTTGTTTTCGTTTTGATCTACAGTCTAGTCTAGCAAGGCCAACTCAGCCTGTTCATTTTCCAACTCAGAAGTGAATTAGATTCCGTCTATTATTGGGTTTGTATTTGTGAAAAATTGAGGGATATATTCAGATTTCAACACTGTGAATGTATCATATAACATAACTACAACATAACCTATGAATGGGATTTATTGTGATAAGATCTGTATGCGCCTAACTGCCAATAAAAAAAATATGTAACAATTTTATTGCTAATGATTAATAGCACTAAGAACCCAGTATTCAGCAAAGGATTTCTATTCAACAGATTTATCATCAAGCTGTACAGTATTAACTGTCTGTCTATATGATTTTTAGGAAATCATAATGTACGACGAAATTAAAACAAAAGACTTGAATACTTAATGTAATAATGATATGAAATGTGATATAATTTTTGTGAATGTATTCGTAATACACCATCAAGTCATAAATCAAATAGGTCTTCTACATAAAATATCTCAGAATGTATTGGTACTCAAAATGAATATGAAATTAGCAGGATTATTGGTTGGATGATTTCATCATGAGCTGACATCGCTTAGAGAACCACTGGGAAACTGAAAGTACTCTACAGCTGTTTCATCCTATTTTGAGAATCTTCAGCAGTACTCATCCAACACAGGCGGGGTTCGAACCTAGCCCCTTATACTTACAAGGAGAGCTCGTGGACCGTCCAATCGCCAGCCCATGAATTCTTACTTCATGACTTAGTGCAACCAATTCGCAATGTCTTCTTCGATGATTTGCTGCTTCATCTTCAACCTGCTGTACCCTATTGATCATGACTTTCCACTAGAACTCTGGGTCACTGCCTGAATGGGGCCAGTCGCTGGTGAGCATCAGATGAATTTTCAACCAGCGGTTTTTGTAGGGATTCAATCTGTTTTCTCGGAGGAGTTCATGATGAGTTGACATCAGTTAGAGAACCACTGGAAAACCTGGGAGTACTACACAGCTGTTTTGTCCCAGTTAGGGAAACTTCAGCAATACACACCCATCAGGGTTTAAACCCGCAATTAAAACATTACTCAATATGGTAAGAAATTTGACAAAACGCATTTC